CAAGTATGTTAAGGCATGGAATGAAGTTTAAAACGATCTGTTAAGATGGGAGAAAAATTACAATGGACACTGCTGAGGAGAATTACTGTGATTAAAAAATGTCTTTCCTAAAATGAGATTTTTGTTTCGGATAATATTTTGGCAACTGATGTACCATTTGAACAGTGGCATATCTAAACTGTTGTGGCAGGGGGGAAAAAAGCACAAATTAAATATAAGGTGTAATGAGGAGTCCTTGGTGCCCTCTGAGCTTGATTGTTTTCCTGCAGATGTTTCATTATCCAAACTAGTATTAGTCAGTAGATTTGCACTGATGATATTACCTAATTTAGGTAATGGAACGTCTACAAGATAGCAACCAAGCTCAGAGAGGAAAACAAAGAAGGACCCTCATTTCAACCCTGAGCTACAAATATTCTTCTTTATTGATAAGGTGTTATAAGATGCAAAAGAGGAAGTTTGTGTTTACCTGATTTAAAACTGTATTTTGTAGCTTGCTGTTTGGTTTGGATGAAACTGTAGGGTTGCTGAGAAATAGAAGGCTTTTGGAATAAGAAGCACATGATCTGAGATTTGGGTGGCATGGATATTTGTGGTATGATAAAAGTGAAGGTTGTTGTGGGTCTAAAGAGATCATTATATTAGATGTGCCATACTGAGAATGTGAAATAGCTACAAGTACAGGTTGTGCCCGAAATCACCTTTCTGTTTCCAAAGCACACAACACACGAAGCGTTTTGTAGACAAGAAACACAAACACTCTTATTCTCTTATTTACTATTATTAGAAATATTTGAAGTATATAAAAGAATTTACGGTTTTGAACATTGTAAGACTGAATTTGAAACATAATTGTACACAAATGATGAGTGTATAATTGCTAAAATGTATAAACTTTTATCAAAATATGAAATGGAAGAAGTGAAAGAATGTATAATAAAGTGGGCAAAATTTTTGGTTATAATATACAGATGGAACAATGGGAAAATATGTGGCTGAAAGGACTAAAATTTTCCACTACATTATAATATTAAAGAGAATTTATTAAAAATGATGTAACCACAGAGTAAGAGCTAAATTTATACTTGTACTTATAAGTGATATAAAGAAGAGTGGAAGCTACTTATTTGTATCTTTTTCCTCTCTTTTCTACTTTGTCTTTACTTTCTCCCATTTTCTTGCACTTTTAGCTTTCTCTTTAATTTCTTTTTTTCTCATATTAGTTTGTATTAGTTTTTTATCTTTTTTAAAAAAAAAAAGTTCATAAAAATTATATTAAAAAAGATAGAAAGCACAGCACAGACTTCTGGAAACTTTTTTTCCCCAAGCATGCAGGAAAAATAACTTTTAAGTTACATCAAAAGCTACTTCCCATCACACAGCCTTCCACTTTTCATCCTACCTAATATTGCTTATGTAATGGAGAGGACTAATACCACCTCTGCAGTGAACTGCTGCAATGGAGCTATTTTATGATCATGTCCAATATGAGTCCTGAACTACTCATGTTCTGTTGGTGTTCTGAGCCTCTTCAGTTGGAGGGGAACTGAGCTAACGTACTGCTGAAAACAAGGAGAATTAGAAACTGATTGCTTAACCCTGGGATCATGGTTTAGCAGAATAACAGAGTTGGAAGGAACCTTGGAGGTTTTCTAATCCAACTCTCTGCTCAGGCAGGAAATCAGAAAGTACTTCCCAATTATTTATCTGCCAATCATTATGAGTTTCTCATTGGGCCCTGAACTCCTTTTTGTTACACCATTGGTTTAAAAAAATGTGGTACTTATGGCAACATTTAAGATTCATTGAGAATATCGACACAATATATTTTTAAATATCAAAATTCTTGAAGAATGGGCAGCTTTTATTTTATGCAGCTAATGGAAGGTACAAGAAACATATATGGACCTTAGACTAAACATATATGGACCTTAGACTTGTCAGATTATGCTATTTCAGGGTCATAACCGACTGAAGAGGTGAACAAAGGACAAGGAATCACCAAACTGACCTGCTCAGCTCTAGCCAGAAGCATGTCAAGGAAACTGAACCGATTTCAATGTAAAACACAACAAAATGCATATACATTAAAAAATGTATTTGAGCTACAGTTTCTGAGATTTTTGCACTTAGCTTTGCAGTTTACTCCATTTTAAAAAAAATATAGTACTGTTTAAAATAATGATACACTCCATGTTAAGTTTTCTTCAGAACAACTATTTATGCTTACCTATTAAGAGCCATAAGATTATAGTTCACTCTAAATACTACTTACATCATGAATGTTGCAGATATATAATCACACATACATGAAGTAAATAAGACATAGTAAACTTTGTAAGGAGGGGCATCCCCTCTCCACATAAACCAAATGCATCAACTCACAGGATTTTTGTTACTGATAGAATTATGTTTCCATACAAATCCAAATGAATAAATGGCACCAGAGTCACTGGATGATCTGTTTGATTCAGATCCAATGCTTATCAATGCTAATGGCATTCATTCGCTTAACTAAGGGAGAATTTTTCTCACCTTTTTATATACAAAATTTACATTAGTTTTCCTAACCAGTAGCAAACTGTCAAAACATCGTTTCCCTCTTCTCGACAGATTTAACCTCATTAGCAGCTCTCACGGAAGACTGATTAGATAAAAGTGATAAAGCAAAACGTCACAATTAGTGCATCATGCATGCATTTGACCAATTTCATTCCCTTTAGTTTCAGAACATAGAACGCCAGCAAATTTTGCCCCTTTTGAAAAACTGTAATAGTTTAAGGGACAAATCAGAAGGCCTCATTGAGGCTTAACGTACCCATTTCAACTTTTAACACCACCAATGCCCCCATGTCATTCCAGAGGCAAGCCATACCAGGTCATAACCTTTGGAGGACTCTCTTTGAGGTATGAAATGAGTTGAGTGTGGTCTTCAAACTGATAAAAATTCCAAAAAACATGCTTTTAGAAATAGAAAATGTGTGAGGAGGGACAGGTCCATTAAGTCAGCACAGGTCTATTTCTCCTGCTTATTGCACCAAAGGGTGCAGGCAGGGGCATGAAGTTTTACAAACTATAGTCACTCACCCATCCTCTAAGATCAGTTAGAAGATGCTTTTAAAAGGCTTTATGCTCTCTTTAATGGTTCACCCCAAAAAAGTGGTCTTTATGGTGCATAGAATTTAGGTCAAAGTTTCCACAATTATGGAATTTACTTAGTTTTCCTACCCTTGGGTTACATCTTAGCAAAGATCACCAAATGGTTGTTTTTTTTTTTGAAATGCCAACATTAAAAAGAAAGCAAACTCTCCTTTCTGCAGTTCTGCAAATCAATCAGTGGAATTAGCAGAATTTACATCTGTGTAACCTAAATATGACCGTTGGGACATAATCCCTACATTTTCTCTCCAAAATGGCAACAGAGGACTCACTGTGCGCATTATTTCATCTATTTTTAAACCACCTCCAGCGGCAGACACAGATCAATGGGACAAGGTCAATTTTTAAGCACCCTTCCCCCCCACTCCCAACCCCAAACTGAGAAGAATAGGATTTTTCTGTCCGGTCCCTGTTTGACAGACTAATCTTTCTCTTACTCAGGAACTGTTCCAGTTATCAAAAATGAGCTCATTGCCCCATTATCCATCAGGCCAAAATAATAAGAATCAAAACGTCTCAGGCTTGTCTGAGGCTCCTAGCTTCAAGTAGGGTGTCAAGTAAATTTCGTTGTATGTGTGTACTGTGTATACACATACAATGACAATAAAGTTTATTTATTTATTTATTTATTATTAACCCTCACTGCCCATTTTTTTAAAGTAGTATTTGAATTCAAAGATCCATAACATCCCTGGACTTAATTATTATGATTATGATCTCAGCTCTTCCTCTATCCGAGGAGACCAAGATCCAGGCCTGGAGAAGATAACTCTGCGGGATAAAGAGGTTTACATAAGCGCCAGGCCCGGCGAGCCAAGCAGAAAAGCAGCAGGACCATTAATCAGAGCCCGCCACGTTATCACCTCAGCTCGCCCGCCGGACTTAGCTTTTCTTTCCTCTCCCTTTCCCTCCGCGAAGCAACCGAGCGGGGGCGGCATGAAGACGCATCTCCCGCGCTTTGCAAGGGCCAAGCTGCCCCTCAGGGAAGGGTCGGTTGGGAAAGGGGGGCGGGCAGAAAAGCGAATCAAAGGAGAGCGCGAGTCCGTCTCCGCAGAGAACCGAACTCTGCAGCCTCCATGTATCCTTTTCGAAGAAGAGCGGTCGGAAAAGGACATCAAAGCGGGTCAAGCGGCCGGCAAGAGGGCGCCCGCGGGCGCGCTGCTATTTCGCCTCCCGCAAGTGGGAGGGAGTGGGGGGGGAGTCTCTCTCCTCCGGGGAATCTCATCGCGATGGTCTCTCTCTCTCTCTCTCTCTCTCTCTCTTCGCTGCAAGCTTTGGGCGGTCCAAATGCTGGCAGTCAAGGCGTTTTCTCTCTCTCTCTCTCTCTCTCACTCTCTCTTTCACTCTCTCTCTCTCTTTTCTGCAATCCCGGGGATGGTTTTTTTTTGGGGGGGTGGAGGAAGAAAGGGGGCCACGGTGCACATTGCACGGGAGCCTCCTGCAGAAAGTGCACCGAAGAGGCTGCACAGAACCGCGCGTCCCTTTCCTCTCTCCAGCCGCCCCTCTTCCCAACCTCCTTTCCTTCCCTAGCCCGTCGCTTTAATGAAGCGACATCTGGCGGGTTCTTCTTCTCCCTCGGGAGGAGAAGTGGGGGGGGGAAATGAGGCCATCGCAGCCCCCTTTCCTTCCACCACCACCAGCAGCAGCCCCATCGAGCCGGGGCGCGGAAGGCAAAGCGCAGCGCCCCCTAGAGGCTCCCCCCTCTCCCCGCGGCTCTTCCTTCCCAGCCCCGCTGGTCAGTCAACACGCATCTCTCTCTCTCTCTCTCTCTTTTCTCTCTCACTGCACCCAGCCCGGAATCTCCTTCGAGAAGCCCCGGTTTTCCCGACGCCCTTACCTACCTGCGTCGCTTTGTGGAACTGCTTCTTCAAGCCCGCCACGGACATGGTTGCTGCGGGAGGTGGACGGCCGTGAGGGAGCTGCTGGGCGGGCGGGCGGGGATGCTTCTTGCCCTCTCTTGGTCGGTCGCCCTTTCTCTCGGTCCCCCCCCCTCCTCCTCCTCCTCCTTCTCCTCCACCACCTTCCCCGACGGGTTATCAGATCCCGGCTGCGGTGCAGAAACACCCTGACGTCAAATCGTGGGAATTCGTCCTCTTAAAGGGAAAGGCGCCCCACTTTTTTCAGCCCCTTCCTTCCTTCCTTCCTTCTGCCTGCCGCCTTTTCCCGGTGAGAGCCGAGGAGGAAAAGGTCTCGCAGGCGTCTTCTTCCGACCTCTCTTCCCCCCAATCGCTACAGGAGCTGTAGATCGGGGGCGTTTGGAAATCTCCACTCTTGGGAGTGGAGCATTGTTAGGCGATCGTCGAGCATATTTGGCATGGATGGGTCTTCTTGACGAAGTGGGTCGCCCAAGGCCAGTTCTAGGTCCTGCCCCCATCCGGGCTTGGTTCTCAGCAATCCTGGCTTCTTGTGGGTTTCAAGATGGGGGGGGAGAGATTTGGCTCGTCTGCACAGGCTCTCTTGGCTTGCAAGTTTTTTTTTTTCCCCCTGGAAGAAAAGGCAGCATTCGGGACAAGGACTCTGCGACGTTCTCTCAAAGCTGGGAAACTGCGGTCTCGGTTTTGACAGGGTGCGAATAGTTAATAGAATAAAATAGAATTTTTTTATTGGCCAAGGGTGATTGGACACACAAGGAATTTGTCTTGGTGCAGACGCTCTCGGTGTACATAAAAGAAAAGATGCGTTCATCAAGAATTGTAAGGTACAACGCTTAATGATAGTCATAGGGTACAAATAAGCAATCAGGAAACAATATCAATATAAATCGTGAGGATACAAGCAACAAAGTTACAGCCATGGGTCATAAGTGGGAGGAGATGGGTGGTGGGAACGATGAGATTAATAGTAGTGCAGATTTAGTAAATAGTTTGACACTATTGAGAGAATTGTTTGTTTAGCAAAGTGATGGCTAAATAACCGCGGTGATTTTAATGGGCTTGGAATAATACTACTACTTATAAATAAATAAATAAACATGCATCCTATTTGCTAACTAGACGCTTAGTGCTTTTAGTATTATGAACTGCTAATTTGTGGGTATGCAGTACTGTGCAAACCCAGACATTGATCTGATGTTAAATGATCATTTTTAATACTTTTAATACTTGGGACCCACAAATGGGACAGGTTTTCACACACTAGGTTACCTAATCCTTGGTTTTCTCATAGCAACGCAGCTTGTGTTACGGCCTTCCCTTCCTCCTCTTTGCAGTTTCATGCAAATGTATCTTCCCACTAAGACATATTAATCTTTCCTCTTATGCAATTCCTTCTCATTGATCATCTTCAAACTATAGTTGGAATCGGAATCAGATTCATGAATGTCTGCACATAAAAAATAGTGGAGTTTCAAACACACCATCACAGACACCACTGTGACTTTTGATCGTACTTTGTTGGATATCCCTAGTTAAAATGATCAAACATAAAAAGCAATGACTCAGCAGAAAACTACAATGACTCTAGACATAAGTAGAAATTTGCTACATGTCTGGCATGCACTACCTAAGACTCCTATTTTCTCTACAACAACCCTGTGAGGTGGATTGGGCTGAGAAAGAGAGAGCAACTAGCCCAAAGTCACCTAGCCGGCTTTCATGCCTAAGGCAAGTCCTAGAACACAATATCTTAACCACTACATACTGGCTCTCAGTCACTCTAAGGCAGTGATGGCTAACCTTTTTGCCATCGCGTGCCAAAAGAACAGGTCGCGTGGGGGGCTCGCGCACGTGCATGCCCACACCTATAATTCAATGCGCCCCCCCACAAATGCACGTGCGACCCCCCCATGCGACCCCCACTTTTGGCACGTGATGGCACAGTGGGCCTAGTAGGCCCATTTTTTGTCCTCCCCCAAGAGCCTTTCTTGGAGCCTGGGGAGGGCGAAAACAGCCTTCCCCACCCCCAGAGGCCCTCTGGAGGCTGGAAACGGCCTGTTTCCCAACTTCTGATGGGCCCGGAAGGCCCAAAAATCAGCTGGCCAGTCCACATACATGCGCTGGAACTGAACTAGGGCAATGCTCGCATGCCCACAGATATGTTCCGTGTGCCACCTGTGGCACGCGTGCTATAGATTTGCCATCACGGCTCTAAAATATGCCCAAAGCATATACTGCAAGGGTAAAATCTACCATTTAAGAAAGAGGCCATTGGCTGCATACCCTGTTAACTTCTGGGCCAAAGTATATTTTTTCAAACACCATGGAGGCTGATACGTAAACGGTAGGAAAATAATTTAAGTCTTAAATTATTAGGTCTATGGAGATTCTCAGTCATCCAGGTCATGGTTGTCCCAAAGGTGCTTTTTTCAAAAGGCAACTGGACTTTGTTTTTCCTTTCTCATCCAAGAAGCTTCTTCAGTTGCCTTTTGAAAAAGGACCTTTAGGACTACCATAATTAGGTATTACTTCATCTTGGACATTCATTTGAAAAAAGCTACATTGATCAGGAACGGACAGGGTTTTTTCTTCTAGCCCTTCATCTTGGAGGCTCATGAATCAATAGTTTTAAATTGAATGTGTAAAATTGGGGTCTATGACTAATGACATCTATGCCAGATGGGGTTTTGTTACTTGGATGACATCAGTGATTAAAACTGATAAGCTCTCATGATAATATACACTACAACTATTTCTATATATTCCCTGCATTTGTCAGTTGGCAGAAGAGAAGACACTGCAAATTGACTTTGATTTGGAAGAACAGGAGGATGGAAAACAGCAGTGGTTTGAAAATGCCTTAGAAGTCTGGGAAACCTGAAAATTTATTTACTTTCTTCCACCAGGTGTCCCACTTGATTTCAAGGACTATTAAACAACAAACTGCCAAAGAATTAACTCCTTTCTAGCCAAGTTATAATCAAAGTACTTTTATCACAACTTTCCTACGATCTTCCAGGAATGGCTTCGAATCTCTCTTCTGATACTAAACCCATAACTCCCATCACTTCAAGAGCTTGGACAAGAATGGGGAATGGAAGGAGTTTAACAACACCTGGAGAAAGGCAGATCTTTCTATTTTATCTACCATAAGCAAAAGCATTAAAACCAAGATATACCAAGCAACTTACTAAGCAATAGAAACTTCCAAAGGATGCTTCAAAAAGTATCTCTAAAATATGGTGTAAAAAGATACAAAGATGATTACAAAAACAAATTAGGTCAACATTCATTACAGTATTGTTTCACACTATAGTTCCTCATAAATTACAAATCCACTCCTTCCTTGTAACTTGTTTCAAGCACATTTTGCTTTTTACTCACATACATACAATTATGACTTCAAAATATTTACAGCTTTGACTATGAAATTCAGTTGTCTTTTAACATTTTCAGTGGTTTAGTTATTTCTTGCTCCCTGTAATACATCTATAACAGTGGTGGGTTCCTCCCAATTCGGCCCGGTTCCGCCGAGCCGGTAGTGGTGACAATATGACATCATCGAACCGGTTCTGTCCCACCCACAATCTATTGCTACCTCCTGAGTCCCAGCTGATGGGCTATAAAGAAAAAAACTGTTTATAAACTCTTGCCGCAGGGCTTCAAAGGGCTGCCCTATAGCTGATCAGTGGTAAAGGGCAGTTTGGTGGTAGACCGGTGCCTCCAAAAACAAATGAGTAAACTGGTGCCTGCAAAAATAAATGGGTAGACCAGTGCCTGCAAAAATACATGAGTAGAACGGTGCCTGCAAAAATAAATGGTACACCAGTGCCTGCAAAAATACATGAGTAGACCAGTGCCTGCAAAAATAAATGAGTAGACTGGTACAGCTCTGCAAGCAGTTAAAAGCCTGGTAGACCAGTACCTCTGCTAAATCCTAAAGAATTGTCACATGACCATCAAGCCACACCCACAAAATAAGCCAAGTCCACAGAACCGGTAGTAAAAAATTTTAGAACCCACCCCTGATCTATAACTCTACATTGATTTTTATAGTTGTCCCTTTGTATCAACACAATGCATCAGAAGGACCAGAATTAAATATCCATATATCACTGTTAATACTTTCCAGACCAAAAGCTACTACTTGTCATTCATAGAAAGATAAATGGGTGTGCCCATTCGGACAGCGTTCTCTTTATACCCATGCCAGTTTTAAAAATGAGAATACAAATATTATTAGAAATAGTAAATACAGTGTCTCAAGCCTGGTAGAATTGCCCCAATATTTTAGAGGCTGAGATAAGACCTAGCAATTTACAGTGTCTTTGGCTGAGATCACTTAAAATGCTGCTTTCTCCCTTGCTTCTATCTATGGCTGCTTCTAGTGTTTCAGAATAAATTTTTGCTGTTTTATGTTGCTTGCTTTACTATTGTTCATACTTTATTGGTAAATAAGTCAATACAAAAAAAGTTGGAAAATTTCTCAGAAATAAGGTCCTGAAAATACAGCCGCACGTTATTGGAAATACCTTAGGAAATAGCTGTGGATGTATAGGGAATTTTTGAATGAGTAGGAGTTAGAAGGACTTGAATGGGAATGGTTCACCAAGGTGATATAACAATATCAATACTTGCATACAGAAAGCTAGAATGGCTAAAGCACACACACAAAAAAACCCTTTAAACTTAAAAACAGCCGCAAAACAGCCACATTCTTACGATACATTTGCTCAGCACATACATATAATTCCAAGATGCCAATCTTTTTTTTTTTTTTTTTTTGCTTTAATTTATATGCCGCCCTTCTCCGGAGATCAGGGTGGCTTACAATGCGTTAAGCAATAGCCTTCATACTTTTGTATATTTATACAAAGTCAGCTTATTGCCCCCACAATCTGGGTCCTCATTTTACCTACCTTTGAAAGGATGGAAGGCTGAGTCAACCTTGAGCCTGGTGGGATTTGAACTTGCAGTAATTGCAAGCAGCAGATGTTAATAACAGTACATTAGTCCACTATGCTACCAAGGCTCTTTGTTATCTTATTGTTATAAAGATAAAATGCCCAGAGGAT